ACCATCTTGTTACAATGCTAACTTAAAGTCAGTTTTAGAGAGGTAATTTGAGTGATGAAGGACGGAAGTAAATTAACTTCTCAGGGAATGAAACACAAAGAGACAAGGATAGTGAAATCAGGTGAGATGAAAACAGAGAGAGGAAGAGAGGAAGAGTGAGCAACATCCACTCTTTAAAAAGCATGACTCATTTGGCTCTGTCGGAAATTACACACACACACTTTGGAGGAGCTGCAGAGGAACAAGTACTGAGTGCAATGAAAGCCAGAATCCATTTTCACAAAACCCAATTGCATGTGAAAGATTCTGCAGCTGCAAAGTGCCTCAAATTTGGAGAAAATCATGAGAGAAAGATAGGTAGAGCAAAGAAAAAGAGAGATGTACAGGACCCATGAGGTCAAAATTAATAGTACTCCTGAGTACTAATTTTAAACATTAAAAATGCGTTCAATATTTTTAATGCCCAAGAAACCACTCATGCTAATAAGAAATGGTGTAATGGTCAAACAATGCTATTAGCTATGGCCAATCCTGAATGTCTGAACCTCGCTTACTCGGAGTTTGAAAGGTTTCAACACTAAGAAACTGTTCGGACTGTCACTGTATTTGTTAACGTGCAGTTGTACTGTACTTTGTAATTAATGTTCACATATAGGCAGCATTTCATCAGACTCTGGATTTGCGCTGTCATACTGTTACCGATTAATATCACTAACCAACAGTTCTACTCCAGCTAATATTTCTATCTTTAATAATTTGCACATTGGACCTATATCAGCGGTCGTCAACTTCAGTGACATGATCTTGGCATTTGTAACAAATCCTGTTTTGGCTTATCTAATCACATGTTTACATTTATGTAAATTATTTACCTAAAGGCAGCTCATTGGACCAGAGGCTAGCTACAGAGCTAGAGACATTAGGTCAGGAAGGATGTTTTCACACATACAGTTTTCTCCTCTCTGGTCTGATTAGAGACATGACAACATGGTTTATTTAAAAAAAAAAAAAAAAAAAAAAAAAAAAAAAAAAAAAAA